AGATCACACCACTGCTGTGCTCCACTCCCAGTGCAAACATCTGCAATCGCAGTTTCACACAAACAAATGGAAAAGCACCCCATGCTCTTGCATCAGAAATATTAAGGAGTGTCCTGCCCAAAGCAATGTATAGGCTCAATGCAATCCCAATCGAAAAACCAATTTTATTTCTCACAGAACTAGAAAAAGACAATTCTAATGGTTTGTTTCATATGGAACCAAAGTAGCCAAAGCAGTCTCGAGAAAGAAACAAACAAAACAAAAGCTATAGGCATTGCATTGCCTAACCTCAAATTATACTGCAAGGCCTTTGCCACAAAAACAGCAGGGTACTGGTATAAAACCGACACGTTGCCTAGTGCCACAGAGAGGAGAACTCAGAAATAAAGCCACATACTTAAGCCACGGATCTTTTACAAAGTCGATAAGAACATACACCAGGGAAAGGACACTCTTAAAAAAACATGGTGCTGGGGAAACCGGATTGCTATACACAGAAGAATGAAAGTGGCCCCTCTATGTCACCGTATAAAACGAGCAACTCAATATAGATTGAAAACATGATGTAAGCCTTGAAACTATCAAAATACTAGAAGAAGACCTGTGGAAAACTATTCTGGACGTTGATCTAGGCAAAGAATTCATGACTAAGACCTCAGAAGCACAAGCAACTAAAACAAAAAGAGACGAATGGAACTTAATTAAACTACAGAGCCTCTGCACAGCAAAAGAAATAGTCACTAGAGTGAACAGACAACCTGCAGAACTGCAAACAAGGTTTACACACTGTACACCTGACAGGGTCCTAATATCCAGAATGTACGAGGAACCCGAACAACTCAATAACAATAATAATAAAAATAAATCGCCATTTACAGGCATTAGTAGGGTGATGTATGTTCAGCTGTCGTATATGTGCCCAAACCACCTTCCAAACTGGATAAGCCAATTTATAGTCTTACCGGGAATTTCCAGCTGATTCACTTTCCTGATGACACTTATAACTGACATTCTTTTTCATTCTTGTCCCTCTGGAGAAAGGGCAGAGGTAGAAGTTTGTGATCTTAAATAGCATTCAGTTGATCAGTGATGATGTTGACACCTCTTCATATCATTTTACATGAAATCATTAGAATCATACAAAATTATCAATACTTGCAATATGATTATTGACCATGTGAGTATCATTATTTGAAAAATACCTGCTCAACTCTTTGGACTTTTTTAAATACATTGGGTATTTCTTCACTTTTTTCCATTCATATTTTTGAAATGTATAAATCAAACTTTTCAAGTCTTTGCTTAACCAAGTATCTGGGTCATGTCTGAGTGCGTTTCTGTGGTTGGGCCGTTTTATTCCTTGCTGATCAGTCACCTTTTCCTTCTTTGCTTATCTAGAAATTTTATTCTGTGCTGGACATTGTGTGATATACTAGATTGTTATTTTTCTCTAAATAATAATAAACTTTGATAAGGGAGTTAAATTACAGTCAATCACCTGGGGCCCATGCAACCTTGATTTTAGACTTTGCTAGGTCAGGACTACTTCACTTGGCACTTTGCTTCTAAAGCATAGCAATTACTGCCAGGGCGTATGTTTCTGGTTTGCTTGTTTCAGCAGAGTCCCTGGTGTGTTAAGCTTTTAGCTCCTTAGGAGATGTCTCTGCTGGTCCTCCTGGAATACCTTCTCCGATATTTGTGCATCTCAGCCTTTGCCCAAGAACCCGAGGGACATTTTTACAGAAATGTAAGGGTCTTTTCTCAAAGGTCCTTCCTCTCTGGTACCCTTACCCAGACGTCTTAGACCATCCTGAAGTGTGATCTGCTTCCTGCACTTAATGCAGCTGCCAGTCTGTGTTTGTCTCTATTTTCCTGCACCGCGGTTTGAAAAATGCTCTCAGGGAGCAGTGAGAATGCACGCGACACTCGCCTCCATGGCAACTTTTCTATCAAGCATCATGCTGCTGTCCGGTGCCCGCACGTGCTTTTGCAAACAGTTCACACATACACGGGGTGGTGCAGAGGTGGTACAGAGAAGTTTCCTGTACCTTCTCTCAGTTTCCCTCCGGGGTTTCATCTAAGAGAACGAGAGTAAAATAGCAAGATAAGTGTAGTGACATTGTTACGTGTCGATACGTGTCCTTTTTATCCAACGTGTACATTTGTGCAGCCACCAGCACTGTGAAGAGACAGACCGTCCCTGACAACCAGCTCTCTCTCTCATGCTACCCCTTATGGTGAGAATCCTCTCCTCCCTCCCACCGTTGCTGACACCAATGCAGGCTTGCGTCCCCGATGTGCAGCTAAAGTCACACACGGTGTCACTAGTGCTCAGAGACAGAGAAAGGTTTATTTGATTTCACCAAAGTGAGAAGACGAGAGAACAAAATCTCCCCAGCACATCTTCTTAGGACTGGGGCTGGAGGCTTCATGGCGTGGGGAGCAAGGGGGAGGGGTCTGTGGGGTTCTGGTGTCTGATGGCACCTGAGTCACCACACTCTGAGCATCAGGAGCTATTTGCAAGTTTTTCAAGACATTTATTCCTTCTGCAGGACAATCCCACAGTTTCCTCACGACCCTGCAGTCACCACTTCCTGTGTGACAGGAACACAAAGCACAGCAGCACTGGCAGGTGCCGTGGGAGCGAGGGGTGCTGGGCAGGGGAGCGGCTCACCTGTGCGAGTGAGCAGGGCCTCGGCACAGTGCACGTCGTCTGGTCATCAGATTGACTGATGCCAGGCACTAAAATCTCCCGGTGCCCGGCCACACGGGATCTTGACATCTCCTTATGTGAATAGAGGATTTCCTGCCGTCGCATCCATTGTATTTAGTAGCTGTCCTGGTGTAGTTTGTGTGTCACCTGACCGGGCCAAGGAGGGCTCAGATTCCACATCGCTCTGGGAGCGTCTGCGTCTGCCAGGCGTTTGCGGGAGAGACGAGCATTTGAGTAGGGGACGTGGTGCTCTCTGTGCCCCCAGCAATGTGCCAGCATCACCCACCCCTGCAGGGCCTGAAGAGGACACGAGGTGGAGGAAGGAGGGCTTCACCCCTTCTTCCTGCCTCACTGCTAAGGCTGGGACCTCCCATCTCCTCTTCTGCCCATGGACGGGGAGTGACCCCAGGGCTCTCCTGGTTGTGGTGGGTTCAGTCTCAGTGTCAATCCAGCCTGGCTTTCCTGGACGACCCTTGAGTCCCATGAGCCACTCTGCACAGTTAATCCCCACATGTATGCACGTGTCTCCCAACAGTTCTGCTTCTCTGGAGAGCCCCAGCTAGTGCAGTGTGTGACCTGCAGCCACGGGCTTCCAGTGAAGGCGGCGCATCCCCTGACACCCCCAGAGCCTCACCTAGATGCGCACCTGCTGTGCCTGTGCCTGTGGATGCAGTGTCCACACCCAGCCACCGTCCCTCGTCCCTCAGCCCAGCATTTTCTGGGGCTTCAGTTCTGAATGGCTGTGGGGAGTGTCTCTGGCTTCAGACTGGTTCCCCTGCCGACCCCCTGCTGCTGTGCCCCTCAAGGTGATACAGGACGTGTCCCTGCCATCATCTGGGGGCCTACCAGGGTTCCTCATTGCCTGTGGCTTGGTCGTGCGATCTCTTTGGCCAGTGGAAGGGAGTGAGCACGCCGTCTCTAAGCAGGACTTTATAGGGGGGACTTTCGTGGCTGGTGTCAGCTCCTTGGGCTCCCGTGCACTTTGCAAGGAGGAGACATCCCTGGTTGGGGCCACTCCTTTCACCAGGGCCCAGAGTGTAACCCAGGAGGTGGGGACCTGACCTTCCCCCTCTGCCTGAAGCCAAATGCTGCTGAGCCCAGAGGCCTCTCCACTGCCCCAGCCCTCATGCTCCGTGAGTGGATAAGAAATCTCTGTCCTGACTCGTCGAGATGCTGGGTTTGCTTGTTTCCAGAGCAATATCTGACTCAGTAACCACGGTAACAATTGGGAGACAGTGAGCTGGCTTCAAAGCAGCCCTCTCTTGGTCAGGGAGGACTGGCCGGTATGTGGTTGGCGACTCCGGTGGCACTATTTCCCCTCCTGTTTCTGGGTGTGTGTGGTCCACTGATTACACTGTATCATGCACCTGTCAGGTGTTTTTTGTTCTTGTTCTCAAAGTTCAGTTAGAAAATGATTGGCTGGGAGCAGTGGAACATGAAATTGAAAGTGAAGTGCCCAGAGTTTAAGAGAACGCCCTGCAGGCAGGGGGCAGAATACACCTGTCACAGTGGGCTGTGGCTTCAGGATGTCTGCAGTGGTAAGTGCTTCCTAATTTTTCAGGGAAAATCCACAGGGGTTTGACCACCCCTGGCAAGGACTCAGTCTGGTGAAGTGTGAGTGCCAGCTTCCATTTTGAAGCTTGTATAAAAATTCTGTTATTGTCCAAAAGTCTGTTTTCTGTGAGAGATTTGAGTTTATGGTGGTCAGAGTGGCTATGTCCATTCTGTGTCCAGAGGGCTGCCCTGGGTCTGCCATGAAAGGAAGAGAGGTGCTGGCAGAGATGTGGGCATCCAGGAAGGGGTGGCTGAGCCAGACTGGGGCCATCAGGGCAGCCCCTCAGGCGTGGGGTGCCCAGGGGGAGAGGAGGAGAGGGTGTGTGGAGGTGCTGGGGTAGAGAGACCCAGACGTCAGGGCTGCATAACCAGAGCCAGCACTGGGAAGATGAGAGCGATGTTGCTGAGATGGCCTGGACGGCAGAGCCCGGGGCAGGGAGGTGGCGAGGGAGGCGGGTCAGGAAGGGTCTGCAGCTACCAGCAGGTGTGTCCTGCACCCTGAGTCCAGAGGAAGTTCATGGACAGATGTGCCCATGGGAAGGCCACCATGAGTCCTGGGCTGGATGTCGCATGGTAGGGATGGGAGCTGGGGGTCTTAAGGGGGCCATGGAGGTCACCAGAGGCAGGGACAGGGCTGTGAGATGGAGCAGGAAATGAAACAACCAATAGAAACTACTGGAATCCATGTTGGTTGGTTTAGTGACTGGATATTGTCATGAGGATGAGGGCAAAGGTCGGCTGACCCTGGTCAATGGCTGCCCAAAGCAGGGTGGGCTGCTGGCCACACGGTGGAGCCCCCTGGAGAGGGGGTGGGTGTCAGGCACAGCAGGTGTATTCAGGAGCTGAGCAGCTGAGGACGTGGGGACTCGGGTCCCAAAGGCCATCTCAGCTCCTGAGGCGACTGCGGGACTGGACAGGGAAGCAGCTGTGACAAAGGACGTGCGGGGACCGCTGTGTGCAGGTCAGCCCGTCCTCCCAGGGCCCCTGGGCAGCGCGTTCTCCGTGGGCTGGCGGGCAGAGGGGACCGCAGCGGGATGGCAGAGGAACCGCCGGGCCCTGCGTGCTGCTGCCTTTGGGGTCAGAGTCAGTTGCTCAAGGCCAGTTCCCGGGAATTCTTAGGGAAGCGCACAGTCAGGCCTCTGGGGAGAGTTAATGGTTGGCTCTAAGAGGGGGTGACGGTTGCTGAACACTAGGACAGGCAGCTGGGATGCGGGTGGACGGGTTAGTGTCCTCTGAGGCCAGGCACAAGCAGGGAAACTGAGAAACTACCCAGTGATGAGCTCTGTGCCAGGGAGGGCCCTGGGGACGTGGGCAGGAAGGGAGGAGGGAGGAAGAACCTGGGACTTTTCCTACTGGGAGAACCAACCAAGCATGCAGGGACTGGCCAGTGTCCCACATGAGAGAGCTGAGTGGGCAGCTAAGGGACAGGAAGCTGGGCAGGTTCAGGAAAGACTAACCCCAGCACCACAGCGAAAGCCCTGCAGCAGACAGAGCCGTAGTCAGGAAACTCAGCTTGTGATCTCAATTTGCCGAGGTCGGATCTCGGGCGGAGACCTCCCCCCATGCCCATGGGCACCCCACCTTCTAGCCTCAGCTGCTCCTTTTTAGCCTGAAGGGCGACATTGAGTCACTGCTTTGGACACCATGACCCGGGGGACGCAGGGGCTCCAGGGTCTGACAGCTGGAATTATGTCCCATCAAACAGCAACAATCTCAGCTGCTTGAGGGAACTTTTTTTCTTGGAAGCTTCTACATATGGAGAATTTTCTTTAAAAAACACCATGGAAAAGCACCGCATATCAGTGCAGAAGGCCCAGCTTCTCCTCTGAGCTCCCAGGACTCACTGACTCCGACTCCTTCATCCTGCCCCCCCTTTGCCCGGGAGGCCGCTCCCACCCCACCCTCGCTAAGGCCCTGGGAAGAAGCAAACCTCCCTCCCCTCAGGGCCCTGGGACCCTCTTTTTGCTCTTTTGTGGCTCTTACCCCTCTGCTGTGAGTGACACTCAGCTGGTCTGCACCTGTCCCCTCCCAGCTTGTGCCTGTCAGGGTGCTGCTCTCAGCCTCGGGTACCGAGTGGACGTGTGACAACCGCTGCCCAGTTGAGGGGGGAGAAGGAAAGGGCTAGGAGACGCCTCTCCAAAGGGACAAGTCCCTGAGCAGCTGGCTCCCCCCAAGGCCATTTTTTCATCATATTATGGGGGTTCAAATGTTGTTAGAGTTACACATATTACCCTTGTCACACCTTCCCCTCCCCGAGTCACAGCTCCTAGCGTCTCCACCCTCCAGGTGCGCATCACACTCATTATGCGAGTATACACCCTTAGCCCGTCCCCACTCCCACCTGCCTGACACCCGAGAAATTTTTTTTGACATTTTGGTTACATTTTATATCTTTGCCTCTCCCTACGAAGGGTTAGAGGTATGCCCTTCCCCTCCACAAGGCCAGTTTTAAAAATGAAAATTGAGAAAGTTTTCTTTGTTACCTACCAGGTGCCGTGCACCTTATTAATATTGATAAGATTAATGCTGTCATGTTTCATCTCACATAAATGCAACCCAAATGGCACCTGGGTCTTCCCTTGTCCCTCAGATGCAAATGGATTCTCTGGAAACTCTCCTCCCAGCTGCTCTGGGAGACCCCCCACCCCTGGGTGTTCTTGGGGACAACAAGCAGAGGCCTGCATTGCTCCTGGGTCCCTCCTGCTGCTCAGTTAGTCCAATGTGGGCATCATTTCACTTACTCTTTTTCCCAAGACAAAGGGGCAGCCCCCATTCCTCCCCTCCACAAAATGTCACTGTCACATTGAGTGTCCCACTGAGAAGAAGGTCCTCTCAGTGGCTGGCTCTCTGCAGAGGGTCAGCGGGAGGGGGTAGATTCACATCACAGCCGCAAACCACCCATCCCTGGGGCGTCGCCAGCCCTGCTTGGCGAGTCTGGGTCTCAGGCAGGAGCCTCTCCCTGCAGGCTGCACCTGTCGCCATGGCGCTCTAGACCATCTGTCCCCTGCTGCCATCTGGCTTTTCCCTCTATGGCCTGTCTGAACCCTCACATTCCCATTCCCGTCCTGCACAGCACAGCTCCATTTCCCTGTGTGACTCCAGACCCCACCTCAGGCCTCCCGCACCTGAAGCCACCTGTCAAGGGGTTTCCCCAAACTCGATGATCTCTCCCTCAGGGAGCGCTGGCAGGGAGTGTTGAAACCACCAGGCTCTCACCCCACACGTGACCCTCACAGACAGCGGATGGCATATTGCCCTGTGAGGCTGAAAGAGGACAGGGGACCCCAACCCTCGAAGTCAGAGATGGTCCTTCGCAGGCACACTTGAATCACAGACAAAGCCTCCTGGTTCAGTGCTCATGGCCCCACATCCTAACCCTCTGCTCTGCTTCTAGATCCATGGGGTGGCGGCTGTTGGCAGGTTTCTTCGGGGGGTTATCAATAGGCTGAGGCCAAGCTCACACGAGGAAGAGTTCTACTGCGGCTATGAGTGCACAGAATGCCACATCTACCGTGAGGATGGTGAGCTCCACAGGTGAGTCCTGAGCCTGCCCCCTGGCAGGTGGAGACTGGCGGGTCTCATGGTTCCCAATCCCTGCCCAGGAGCGGGAGGAGCCCTGAAGCGTCTCAGCAACTTGGAGCCAGACCTTTCTTCACCCTTATTAGCGCCCTTCCTCTGTGTCTGTTTTCCAGGAAGAGGTGTGTCTACTTTGGAAAGAAGAGAAGACAAAGAGATGAGGACACCTCAAATGGTAAGTCGTTATGTATAACAGAGTAAAATGAAAATTCTTAAAGCATGTCTAAGGACACCAAAAGAAATCATTCCTCTTTGGGCTTCCATAACCCTGATTGTCCCTGTGGTAACAGGCAAGGGAAATGTCATCGAAGATTTGCAGCTTCCAGTCTGCTCTCCGCTTCAGCCTGCGCTCTGCAACTGAGCCCGCTGGATCTGCTGCTCCTCTAGTCAACAGAACATGGGAATTTGAGATGGATGTTAACAGAGAGGCCTGCCTAGGGCACATGCGTCTGTGTGGGGGCACCCATGCCTGGGGCCTTGGGGGACACCCTCCCTGTACCCCCCTGCACGTGAGCTCGTGGGTTGGAGGAACAAATATCTAGACGCTTAACCCTAACTCTTCAGTCACTGCTGCATTTAATAAACACGAGTGAGCATTTCATGTGTTCAAGACTCTCTTGCTGGCAGGAGGGGGACAATGGGGAGCGTGACACAGTCTGTCCCCTCAAGGAAGTCCTGGGTCAGGAGAGAGGACGCCATGGGCGGAGGTTCCCGCACACGGGGCAGCATGAGGGACACACAGGAGGAGCACGGAGCTGCGTGAGAGTCACTCTGGCAGTGGCGCGGCAGGGAAGGGGACAGAGGGGACCAGGCCTGGCTGGGGAGGTGACATCCGAGTGGGGCATTAGAGGACAGTGACGGGTTCCTCTGTGTCACGAGGCCCCACACTGTGTGCAGGAGTTATGGGGACAGTGGGCCACCCCCCAGACGATCAGTCCTTACATGTGCTGCTGCCACGGCTGGGACAGAACTCAGGAAGGTCCAGGGTGTCCGGATCAGACATCTCCAGGCGTGAGGCTAGTGTTGCACAGCGCTACTTGAAAAATATAAGGTCTCACTCCAGAGAGAGACGGCTGCGTCTATGACTTGTGTGTTTACAGAGGAGAGTGTAAATAAGGTTATCCACGGAGATCACCTGGCATCCACGGTCACACTGTGACAGGTCACAGCATCACCTGTCACGTGCTGGTGCTGTCTTGCTTTCCTTAGCTCCAGAAGGACTGCGAAGGTGTCTGCGGTTTTTATTCGATTGGGATATTTGGTTAATAAATACACAACATGATTTCACTGTTGCAAATATTTTTGTCCTCCCAGTTTATTTCACAGGTTTCTTCCCAAAGGCTTGTAGTCACAGGTCTGTCCCCTCCTGCACCTCATCTCTCTGACCAGGGTCCTCTGAAGCCTGTCACCTGCTCAGGAAAACGCTAGGTTCCACAGCTGCAGGTGGCTTTTCATTTGCTAGAGCTAGACAGGCCCTAGAACCGCTCACAATCAAACTGGGTGTGACAAATCGACACGGGACTGGCAATACTCCGGTTCTGGGGCAGCCCTGTCCGTGTCTGTTTGTAGCCGGGATGTGAGTGAGTCCAAATCCCTGGGTGGGCTGAGCCCTGTGGACCACCCTCTGTGGGCTGGGCGGGCAGAGCGAGTCCCCCTGTCCCAACGTCCCTCCTCATTGGCACCTCTGCTGCCCATGTGAGTCGGGGCTCTGCAGAGACACAAGCAACAAGCTGGACAGGTGGGGACAGGGACAGGCAGAGACAGGAGAGGGATGTATGTGAGGGGGAAGGGCTCTCAGCTGAGGGAGGATGACAACTATCAGGACAGGCCGTCTTCGAGCCACAGACCCTGGGATACTGGCAGCAGGGCTCTGTCCAAGTCCACTGGCTCAGAGCGAGGGAAGCCCGTGCTGTCCCCAGTCTGTGGCCAAACCCTGAGCACACAGGGGACCACTGGTGTGTGCCCTGGAGTCCGCAGGCTGGGGAGCCTGGCACTGTTGTCCCAGGACAAGGGACAAAGGGAATGTCCCAGCTCCAGCAGGGACATGGACACGTCTGCGTTTCTCTGTGTTCTCCCCACTCCTCAAGGGGATTGGGTGGTCCCGACCACGCTGAAGGCGGATCTTGTCCCCCAGATCAGTGACACCCACACTGTCCTCTGCTCAGGACTCACCCTCACTGCATTGGCATCAGATCCCACAGGTAAAAGGTTGAGTCCCACAACACTGTCCCTGCTTCAAATGCCAATGACAAGTCTGGGTCCCTGGAACTGCTGACCACGTAGCTATAAATCAGGGCTTCCCACACCCCTTCTCCGGTGGTCCCGGCACTCAGGAAACGGTTTCCTTCCATGTCCTGGTCTATCAGAAAGCGCACGACCGAGGGTGCAGGGAGCAGCAGTCAGACGAGACGCACGGGCCGGCAGTGTGGAAGGCTGGAGGCCACCCTGCCTCCTCCAGGAACCCCCACCTGCTCAGCAGCCCAAAAGCTCTGTGAACTGAGTAGTTCAGGGCTTTTCTGGAGGTTTCCTGACATAGGCCTGACTTACCAACCCAGGCTCCAGCCCCTCTGCCCTTTCTGGAGGATGTGGGGGGGTGGGGCTGAACGTGCTAAGCTTCCCAGGCAGCCTGCAGCGCCTAAAATATTTCCTATCTGGAAATATTCCACATTCCAGAAAGAGTTCCCCACCCTGGGCATTCATGATAATGATGGTGATAAAGTCACTGTCCTTGTGCACCAGCATCGTGATGTTCCTAGTCACCTGCTCACAGGGGGATCTAACGGTGACCCCTCTCACACACCCATAATCAGAGGGTCCCCTGGTGATGAGCTGGGAACTGGCAGACACTGCTCTGGGCATTGCTAACTGTGCAGGCTATAAGTGATTCAGGATGTTTCAAAACAAAGCTTGAGCTTCCTGATGAAAACCAGACAGCTCGAGGCAGGACAAATTCCAACTGTTTACAATGAAAATCTAGAGAAATGGGCCGGCTCTGGCCCTCACAGCTTCCTTAAGCTTTTTAGCAAAACCAGCCACTTCCTGCCTGACCCCAGGACACTTCCTGTTCCACTGAAAGGACACAGTCACACTGATTCCAGGAACACCTGCCCTTTCCAAGAAATGGCATGAATATTTCTCCCCTTGTTTAGCCTGTGGTCAAGCTGATCCAATAGAGGCCCTGGAGGAACCCGGCTCAGGCCTCCTCTGCAGGGAGCGGCACTTCTGCTCTGCTGCGGAGCAGGCTCCCCGCGTTTCTGAGCAGATCTCTGCTGGGCTTACAGAACCCCCCCTCCCCGTCTTCCACCCAAACCTCCTCTCAAGCCCACCGCTGTCCCCGTGCCAGGGCTGTGCTAGGCAGGGAGCGTTTGCCGGACCCCAGGGAGCTAAGGGCGCTCACTTCCTCCGCCCTCCTGAAAGGAGGAGGCTCATCCCTCCTGGTTGTTTGAAAAGAATGTACTTTCTCCTCCCAGGAAAGCCTTCTATGAAACCCAAGGCTCTTCCCTTTTCTCATGTGGACGCCTTTTTCAGGCTCCCACATCCACACCCAGAGCTGGGAAATAAACAGCATTTGGCCTCACGGGAGGCTTCGTGAGTCTCCGTCTGGGCTCCGAGGCTAACGTCTCACTTCACTCTGCGCGGGCAGCTGCTCCTGAGTTCCTTCCTGTGCGAATCCAACGACCACTGGGACTTACAGCGGCTCCCATTATTGGGTGTCACTGTCCTGTGTCAGCCACAGCGGTTTCTGTACGGACACGGTCAGGGTTGGGGAAGTGCACAGGGATGTGGGTGCCCAGCACAGAGCTGTTTAATGTCCCCTCCAGGTGGTGACAGTGGGAACACCTAGGCTGATTGAGGACAGGGATGTGGGTGACCAGCACAGAGCTGTTTAATGTCCCCTCCAGGTGGTGACAGTGGGAACACCTAGGCTGATTGGGGCCAGGGATGTGGGTGCCCAGCACAGAGCTATTTAATGTCCCCACCAGGTGGTGACAGTGGGAACACCTAGGCAGATTGGGGACAGGGATGTGGGTGCCCAGCACAGAGCTGTTTAATGTCCCCACCAGGTGGTGACAGTGGGAACACCTAGGCAGATTGGGGACAGGGATGTGGGTGCCCAGCACAGAGCTGTTTAATGTCCCCTCCAGGTGGTGACAGTGGGAACACCTAGGCTGACTAGGGACAGGGATTGCAGGTGAGAGCTCTGGGGTCGGGGGTAGAGCCTGCACAGGGGACCTGAGGAAGGGAAATGAGGACAAGGCCACAGTTTCTGGCTGCAGTGACTGAGGGACAGGCACAGGTGGGGCTTGGGGACCCAGCAGTGGAGCTGCCATGGCATTTCTCACAGCAATACTCCATGTTAATGCCACAGTATCAATACTAGAGTATTAATAGCATTCTCATATTAATACTGCAGCACCCAGCATGTCAGAGGGCCTCGCTCTTTACCTCCTGACAGGGAGCCTGATTGATCCCCCATCTGCACGTGGGGACCTGGGCCCGCAGAGTTGAGGGAACTTGTCCAACTTGTCCAGCGTCACGTCAGGAGTGAACCCAGGCGTGTCACGTCCTTGTAGAGCACGTCTCAGTCTGCAAAACCATTCCAAGGCAACATCAGAGTGGGACACGGGTGGGGACCTGTTGCTCTGAAGGCCACACGTCCAGTCGGGTTCCCACAGTGACCATGGCAGCTGAGAGACCCTCTCCACACCAGTGCACCCTGCTGAGACTGTTTCCCCCACCAGGAAAATGGGGCAGGTGGCCCCGTCTGGTCTACATACCCTGGTAATCTCATGGGAGGGAGGGTGGGGTGGACACTGGGGAGCTCTGTTCACACCTGAGCTGCTGTTTTCACAGTCGCCCCTCCCTCAACTCTGGCAGGGAGATGAGAGCAAGTATCTCTCACCTAGTGCTACAGGAGCTCAGAGAGGGTGTGAGATATTCTCAAGGATCATCAGCATAGCTCCTATCACCATGCATCCTGCACAGTCGGCACTGGCCACCTGCCCCGGGATGCACCAGGTTCCTGCTCCCTAATTTGGGGTGACCCCAGCACCTCATCCTGTCCTCTGTCCACTCCTATGTGGACCCGGCTGTTCAGACCCCAGCTCTCAGCGGGCTGGCCTGTATCCTCCCCAGGGGCGGAGCTAGCTGTGGGTGGGGACTGCCCAGGGACAGTGACCCATGTGGAGGGGCCCGGGCACACCCCGGGTTCTGAGAGACCCGAAGCAGAGGTCCTCACCTGGCTGCACTTCAGACCCTCCTGACGACATTTCACAAAACAGTGCACAGCACACCCTCTTTCAGGGAGTCTTGGCGAGAATCTTCATCTATGTAATTTGAGAAAAGAACATCTCGCCTCGGGGCAGGCCTGAGACCACAGAGTCAGTGGGCATTTCTGCTGAGTCCTGGGAGTCCTCATACTGAGTCATCAAACCTGGGGCTGGTCTCGGGGACCCCAACACACCTCCCAAGAAGATTGTTTCCATTCCAGAGTAAACACAAGGTCTCTTTCTTTCTCTGCAGAGGGTGGGAGTGGGCAATGCCCCAGTCTCCCTAACAAAGCTTTCAGCATCAGGATTTGGAGTTTCCTCCCCTGAGACG